TGGTAAGGCTGGATCTTTGCTTGCATCTCGAAGCAATGATAACGATATTATATTGTGAGATGCGGTTGGGGAGAGGGGTCTTTTTCGCCTTCGTGGGCAACATGACCAGGTTCGCAGCTTCTCCCTCTCCCAAACACATGATATATTGACTGATATGTGGTTCTAATTTATCCTTGTTCTAATTGTGTAGTAGTGTGATTTGAACTTGTTGTAATGCTTTTTGTGTTTTCTTTTGTAGGTCACAGATCTTGTTTTTTTGGAATCTGGTAAAAAAAGCTTGTTAGTTCCTCCAAAGACAAGTTTTTAAGATGTGGAATCTTTAAACTCAGCATTGCATGCAAATAGTCAGCGGCCACCATGGTGAAATTTGGTCCTTAGACATTGATCCAGAGGAAAATACCTGGTCACTGGTTCTTCTGACCCGGAGCATAGATTTTATACTGTTAAGGGTGAGCTGGTGGATGAGCAATCCCCAACTCATGTGAATGTGACTGGAAGTATGAACGATGGAGATTTATCCTCTCAAAATAAATGGGAAGTTTTAAAGCACTTAGGTGAGATTAAGCAACAAAGCGAAGATAGAGTGGCAACTGTGAGGTCCAATAAACAAGGAAATTTGCTTGCTTGTAAAGTGGCAGGTAAAACAGGTGAAATCTCCGTCTTTTGGATGAAGCATATGCCAAGCGCAAAGCAAAACGTAGGCTTCATCGTAAGAAAGAAAAGAAATCTGCAAAACGGACAGATGAAGTAATTGAAAATGGAGAAGCAAATCATGGTATCGAAAAAGCTGGAACTCCACCTGTTATTACAGCCCCAGATGTTTTTAAGCTTCTCCACCCTTCAAGCCAACAAAAAGATCTGTTCCATTCTTTCAGTCCAAACATTCCGAAGAACTAACTGGCTACTTTAGCATTGTCTTTGAACAACAATATATTGGAGTTTAATTCTGTTGAAAGTGGTGCTAATATAAGAACACTTGCTATTGAGATTCAGGGACACCGTTTTGATGTTAGAAGTGTCACACTGAGTTCGGACAACACACTTTTGATGTCAACTAGTCATAAGATTTGGAACCCCAGTACTGGTTCTTGTCTTAGAACGATTTAGTCTGGGTATGGATTGGGTGGTTTAATTGTTCCTCAAACATATAGTAGATTTTCCTAGTCAATAGATGCCACCTTCTCCACCTCTCATCATGGGGTAAAAGCTGTCCAGACATTTATGTATTGCTACGGATACATCCATACCGTATCATGCAAAGTGTCAACTCTAGGAGCAGAGCTTGATGAATGATCTGGTTTAGAAATGTAATCAAATTGTACCCTGAATTTCTGAATTGATCCGCATAGCTTGTTCTCCCTTACAAGGATATAATATGTTAGTGAAATATAGCAAACCCTCCTCTATGCTGCGGAAGCAATTCTCTCTGCACTAAGACCCAAAAGAAATATTGCATTTTCGTCTATTTCCTGTTTAAAACATTTCACTACTCACCAAAAATTTGAAACTTTTTCACATTAAACATGACTAAATTTTATTTCAAACACAAATTTTTAAGTTCATAATCAGTTGTAGAACCATGTTGGTCCATGGTAGGGCACAGGCTCTATCATGGTCCAAAAGTTTTTACAGTATATTTAAATCGAGAGAAATGAAAAGAAGATGGAAAAATAATTCTTTATTTGGATATTAAAAAAATTAAAGAGGAAGGGAGGGGAGGGGAAATTTTTTCTTTATTATTATTTTTTTAATTTAATTACTCATCTAAATAAAGAGAAGGGAAGGGAGAGAAATAAAAGGATATAATTCCTTTCTTTACCTTTTTTTTTTCCTCCATTTTTTTCAATCCAAATATAGGATTAGTAAAATGATGAGGGCTAACTGTCTCAGCCCTGGGTGAAAAAATAATAATAATAAAACACATTTACTGATTTTTAAAGGAATAGAAAGAAGAGTGGCATCAAACTCAAATTAAATCAAGGGTGGAGATCGGAGTGGGTTTATTTGTAGTTTTAGGCCTACTTATTAGACAATTGTACCCTTTTAATTTTAACAACTCACCTTTTTCACACTACACTTCTTTGTTATTGACTTCAAGCCCTTTACTTCACTTCATGATTAAATAATAAAGTTTAAATTATATTATTTCACTTCAATCAAATAATTCAAAAATGATCAACTTTTTCTTATACCAAACCTAATTGTGTTCTTATGTGAGGGAAAAAATAAGAAAAAGATGATTAGAAGAATTTTAAATATTATTGTTAAGTCACAAATTAAAATTTTTTATATATCTATAATACATTCAATTAATATAAAGTGTACAATTATGATCTATTGAAAAGAGATTATTTTTAATATATGTGTAAATTATTTTAAAATCACCTTGACGTCTAAATCAAGAAGAAAATAAAATGTATAGTATGTTTCTATATAATCATTTAACATCATTTGTTGTTATTTATTTAATTTATGCTATAATTCGATAAGTGGAGGCAAAACACAAAGGTAGAAAAGGCCCCACCCAAGATTGAACCTTGGTTCTGCCATTCTTTACAACTGTAACTCTTTCGAATTCATTTTAGTTGTTTTACTCCATCAACATTATGTTAATTATTAAATTGTTAATTTTATATAATAAATGAAGAAAAATTAAATTTTTTTATCTAATTAAAATATTTCTCAAATACTATGTTTAAAAAATTAATAATCAAATATTTATTATATAAGATTATCAAGTCAAGATTTATATAAAAATTAAATTAACATAAATTAATATAAGTAAAATATATTAGAAAAAATAATATTTTTAATTAAAAATTTAATTTAGGTATGCATTTTTTTATGAACAATTTAATTTAGATATCGATGAATTTGGTTCCCCCTTTCAAACGCTAGATCCGTGACTGATAATTGCAGGTGTTAGCTTGTGCGTCAAGGCAAACTGTTTCAATTTTTCAAAAGGGCTGTTGATTGCTGTCTCAGTGGACCCGTTAATTAATTGATTCACCTCCCCTAATAAATTTTGTCAAACCCACTGAGGACGCATAAAAAAAGACAAATGTACAGACATGACACAGCCCATAAATATTGACAAGAAGCCCATGCAGTCAACTGCACAATCTGCACTTTGCTTTCTTGAGTTAGTGATTTCAAGTCATATTATAAGTACATTTTAATTTAAAAATTGAGTTTTGAATCTTTTATCTTTAAAATTTTAACCGTTTAGGAAGAGGAAAAAAGCCAGTCACAACATTCCCATTTGGAAGGCATATGTAATTGCAATGAATCTTTTAAGTTTTAGTCTAAATTTTTTTCAGGTTAACGTACAAAACTCTAGGATTAGCCCTCAAAGTACATATTTTAATATTTAAATTAATAATAATTTAATCTATCAAAAATGAAGTTAAAGAAAAGCGTTAGGTCAATTTTTAATACCTATAACAACGAACCTTTTAAGATATTTATAAGTTTTGAAAAGATAATCACGTAATTTTTTTAACAAAACAATTAAGATTTAATATGATAATTAAAACAAATATTTTAGAGATATAAATTAGATAAGTGTAATTTTATTTAATTATTATATAACTAAAAAAATTTTAACTTAGATCATATCTCAATTATTAAAAAATTTAAATCCAAACCTCACTCAAAAATGTACCTATCAAACCTCGTAATACCAATTATTTATTTGTTTGAGTGAAAAAAATTTAAATTTTTTAAATAAAATTTTAAGTTTGATTTTTATAAATAAAAAAATAAATATTGAAAGAGTTTTCCTTTAATGAAATCTAATGCATTTCGATTCTAAATTAATTAAAATTTAATGTGATTATCAGAGATCAAAAAATCAATAAAAAAAATAAGCATCATAATATATTTATAATATTTCCGATATCACTTCTCTCAGACGTACGCACAGCATTTCCTGGATGGATTGTTTGGCCTTCCTGGTGCTCGCTAGACAACAGCTCATCGGATGACTCCACCGTCCATACTTTTTTTTTTTTTTAACAACAATAATGATTAAAAAATTAGTATGAACTAATTGTTAGCAATTGATTCTCAGATTTAGTGAACATTTTACCTCCTCAAATGAGACGTGCGGTCATTCACTTTTTTATAAAGTTTACGATGACAGTAGAGCTCAAAATTCTGACCATCTCATCCAAACATTTAAGATTTGAAATCGAATAATTGAATCTAAAATTCTGCTTTCACCGTACATATATTCATCAAAAGGCGAAAAGGAAGTAAATCACCATTAGCCATGGTGGGCCTTAGTGGACAACCCATAGAAATGTGTCAGTCAATAATTGAGTTGACTAAATCACCATTACAAAGCAAACGGTAGAGACCAAAAACACCCCAAGGTTAACCCACTAACCACCTAAAAACCGGATTCTGTTCATAACTAAGAAATTGCATGACCAAAATACCCCAAATCTTCTTCTTCTTCTCGTTCTTTTTTAGTGAAATTGATAAATATATAAGAAAAAATATATATTAATCTTAATTTTTAAAAATAATTAAAGTTTTAATTTTAAATTATGTTATTTTATTTAATTAAAATTT